TTATAAACCAGGCAGAGGAGCAGGGCCCAATAGGGGAAATACAGAAAAATATTTTCCCTTCTGTACAAATGAAGGGATTTAAACCAAATATGGTCTGAAGNAATTATAAATGCTTCTTTTCATTTTTTTTATTGTTTTTATTGTTCCAAACAATGCCACACACAAAAAAAACCGGAAAATATTAAAGTGGCGAAAATTCAATTTTTTGGTATTTTTTCCAAAAAATTCCCCAAACTATCGGAATGTTTAGATTTTCATAAAATTAACTCTACATAGTTGCATAAACATTATATGAAAGTTTCAACGAATTTTGTTGGTTAATTGCGAAAGTGTGGAGCCACCTTAAGGCCCCTGGGCCTCTTGTTGTTTTTGCCATCAGGTGATTTTTTTTTTTTGGCCGTCAGTGATTGTTTTCTTGCCATCAGTAATTTTTTCCTATCTGTTGTCAGGTGATATTTTTGTTTCTTCTGTAACTAATACAAGTAGATATCTGTGCTTGTCCTTACGGTAATTCAGTTTTAATTTCCATGCCTGCTAAGATTTGACCAAAGGAACACCTGTGTTCTATATTGAGACTGTCCTCAGTGACTTGGTACTTTTGTTTGAGTCTTAACTCTATGGCAGAATAAACTTAAGAAAACATTAAAAGAATTTTAACAAATGATTCCGGTACAATGTCACTCAACACTTAAACATTGTCTGATAATCTTTTTTTTTCATGCCGCATGAATTACATCTTTGTTATATATCAAAGGTTTGAATTTTTGGGGCTAAAAAAATGGAAAATATGTTCTTGGTGCTAAATAATAGCTGTCTTCATAAATGAAAATGAAGCATGTAAAATTTGACCTTTGCTCTTTGTGATTCGCAGTAATACATTTCCACATTCATTCATTAAGTCCAGGTGAGGTGTTGGATCGTTTGTCTTGTCCCCTCACTCACAGTGTCCCTCCACGCCTCGCTTCTTTTTCCATACCTCATTAACCTGCAAGATCGGCTATTCATACCTGATTTTATCTTGTGCCCATTTACAATAAGTTAGGGCCTTGAATTGAAACATGGTCTGACACTTTATACCTGAATGTAAGTATGTATTCTGCGTTTATTATGGAATGTGGGGACAGTTTTGTTGGTCCGGATTGTCAGGACTCCCAGCTGAGAAACACCTGAGACGGCCGAGAGATATGCACACCTGTTTTACCTTCCATGCAGGTGTGAAAGTGAACCATGTAACCCAAGGTCATGAGAACCCCCCAAGGTCGTCAGAACACTGACTTGGCAGTATCCACCCTTAGAAAGCCTTCGTAACATTTTTATTTTACGTTTGCATTACATTACTCAAAATATGGCACCTACATTCTGATAAACATTGAAGAGTTGTGCACCTGATACCTCGTTATCTTACCTGTATTTACCTGGTGCGGTAACGAGCATGCATTATCACGGCCAATCACTTTTATCCTCTTACTTTTATCTTTGCCCAATTCAATTTGCCAGGTGTAAGGCTTGTGACAGGTTAGGATCAGGTTATATATGACTTGTGTGGCCGGAGAGGTATGTCTAGTATTATTGATGAGGGGCTAAATACGTACTCCTTTTCTCTGTAATGGCATGAAAGTGATCCATATTGAAATCAGATTATTGTTAAAGGCTTTTTACCTGATACACAGTCTGATTAGCTTACTACGCGGTAAGGTAAACTTTTCAGCAGATGCTCGTTTTTTACAACACAATTTCACCACTTCTTGTTTATTACCCTTACATGCTTAAAATGCTGTTTAAGTAATGACTTTACATGTAACTGATATTGTACTGGTACATGAATAGATTGTTTCCAAGTTTTAAGCTGTATCAATAAGGTTTTCAGTGCTAATCCTCCCAGATCAACAAGGGCCAATATCAGTACATTTTTCAGCTGAGTATTGACAGGTGCCTTGAAGTGGCAAATATTGGGAGATGGGTACACTTAGTAAAGTCCTTGACTTCTCAGAGTATTAATCCAACCTAACACTATAGATATTCCTCATTCTCTGCTGATACAGCCTAACACTATAAATATTCCTTGTTCTCTACTGATACAGCCTAACACTATAGATATTCCTCGTTCTCTAATGATACAGCCTAACACTATAGATATCCCTCATTCTCTACTGATACAGCCTAACCCTATAGATATTCCTCGTTCTCTACTGATACAGCCTAACACTAAAGATATTCCTCATTCTCTACTGATACAGCCTACCACTATAGATATTCCTCATTCTCTGCTGATACAGCCTAACACTATAGATATTCCTCGTTATCTACTGATAAAGCCTAACACTATAGATATTCCTCATTCTCTGCTGATACAGCCTAACACTATAGATATTCCTCGTTATCTACTGATAAAGCCTAACACTATAGATATTCCTCATTCTCTGCTGATACAGCCTAACACTATAAATATTCCTTGTTCTCTTCTGATACAGACTAACACGATAGATATTCCTCGTTCTCTACTGATACAGTCTAACACTATAGATATTCCTCGTTCTCTAATGATACAGCCTAACACTATAGATATCCCTCATTCTCTACTGATACAGCCTACCACTATAGATATTCCTCATTCTCTGCTGATACAGCCTAACACTATAAATATTCCTCGTTCTCTACTGATACAGCCTAACACTATAAATATTCCTCGTTCTCTACTGATACAGCCTAACACTATAAATATTCCTCTTTCTCTACTGATACAGCCTAACACTTTTAATATTCCTCGTTCTCTACTGATACAGCCTAACACTATAAATATTCCTCGTTCTCTACTGATACAGCCTAACACTATAAATATTCCTCATTTTCTACTGATACAGCCTAACACTATAGATATTCCTCGTTCTCTACTGATACAGTAAAACCAGTAAAACACCTGGTCTTCTGCTAATCCAGCACAACACCTAGTTCTTTGCTTATCCAATATAACACCTGGTTCTCTGCTAATCCAATATAACATCTGGTCCTTTGCTAATTCGTTATACCACCTGGTCCTCTGCTAATTTATTACAACACCTGGTCCTCTGCTATTTCGTTACAACATCTGGTTCTCTGCTTATACAGTACAACACTTGACCTGTGCTAATCCAGCACAACACCTAGTTATCTGCCTATCCAGTACAACACCTGTTTCTCTGCTAATCCAATATAACACCTGGTCCTTTGCCAATCCAGTACAACACCTTGACCTCTACTAATCCAGCTTAACACTCTTTTATACAAATCCAGCCCAGTTTGTTTACCTGTCCCTACTTTTCTACCAATCAAGAACTATATCATACCTTTCTTAGTTGTTTGGCTTCACAGAACTTAAGTCTTTATCTATCTGTGATTGTCTGATTATTAATTGCTGACTTCTCATGACATACAATCCAAAACCCAAAACACCAGAAATTATCTGTCAAAATAGTAAGTGTGTTAAATTAAAGATTTAAGATCAATTAGAGGAAGATAAAAAGGTGTGCAGTATCTGGCTGAAGTGCTGAGCACAGGGGAGTGTTGATGGTATCCTACTTGACCCATACCCCCTTATCTCTACCCAAGGACCAGCTATACCTACAAATGGAATGTAAACCTAATGATAAACCATGACAAGTTTAAGTTCTTCCCAGTAGTTCTTGTATTTTGACCTATCACGACAGTGAGGATAAAATAAGACCAGTCAATGTAGAATTTGTTATAAATAAGGATAAAAGAAATATTCTTGTATATTTTAATTTCAATTGGTTTTTTTTAATATTCATTAAATATCTAACTGGAATTAGTGTTTACATATTTTATGGTGTTTGGGTAGGTTAACCTGTTCTATAATGTCCAGGGAGGGTGTTTACCTGTTCCATGATACCCAGGTAGGGTGTTTACCTGTTCCATGATATTCAGGTAAGGTGTTTACCTGTTCCATGATACCCAGGTAGGGTGTTTACCTGTTCCATGATATCCAGGTAGGGTGTTTACCTTATCCATGATACTGAGGTAAGGTTTTTATCTGTTCCATGCTGTCTAGGTAGGGTTTTTACCTGTTCCATCATACCCAGGTAGGGAATTTTATCTGTTCCATGATACCCAGGTAGGGTGTTTACCTAAGCTTCGACGAAGTTATTGCCCTTTGTTCATTTCAGTATTTGAATTTTGTCCGGAGATCTCCTCCTACATTTTTTGAACGATCTCTTTGGAACTTGGTATACATGATAATCATGATATGAAGTTGTGTCTCCTTTAAAAAAAAAATGATTCGATGATTTTTGCAAAATTTATTGCCTTTTGTTCATTTCAGTTTTTGATTTTTTGTCCGAAGATTTTCTCCTACATTTTTTATAGCATATCAGCTAACAACTCTTAGAATGATGCAGATCTTATTTCAATGTAAGAAAGTATATAACACTATATGGCATTCGATGGGCGTATTTTGTTCTGCCCCGTGGTACTCTTGTTTTTTAAATTTTCATCCTTTGATGACATGGCAAGTATTGTATTTCACTTAGTTTACATGCTGATTTCCACATCACATCTCAACAATTAAATTGAGATACCAGTACCTATGATATAACTCGGGTGACGGCTAAGGCCCTTGGGCCTCTTGTTATCTGTTCCATGCTGTCAAGGTAGGGTTTTACCTGTTCCATGATGTCTTGGTGGGGTGTTACCTGTTCCATGATATCTTGGTAGGGTGTTACCTGTTCCATGATGTCTTGGTAGGGTGTTATCTGTTCCATGGTGTCTTGGTAGGGTGTTACCTGTTCCATGGTGTCTTGGTAGGGTGGTACCTGTTCCATGATATCTTGGTAGGGTGTTTCCTGTTCCATGGTGTCTTGGTAGGGTGGTACCTGTTCCATGATATCTTGGTAGGGTGTTTCCTGTTCCATGATGTCTTGGCAGGGTGTTTCCTGTTCCATGATGTCTTAGTAGTGTTTTACCTGTTCCATGATGTCTTGGTAGGGTGTTGCCTGTTCCATGATGTCTTAGTAGGGTGTTCCCTGTTCCATGATGTCTTGGTAGGGTGTTTCCTGCTCCATGATGTCTTGGTAGGGTGTTACCTGTTCCATGATATCTTGGTAGGGTGTTTCCTGTTCCATGATGTCTTGGTAGGGTGTTTCCTGTTCCATGATGTCTTGGTAGGGTGTTTCCTGTTCCATGATGTCTTGGTAGGGTGTTTCCTGTTCCATGATGTCTTGGTAGGGTGTTTCCTGTTCCATGATGTCTTGGTAGGGTGTTTCCTGTTCCATGATGTCTTGGTAGGGTGTTTCCTGTTCCATGATGTCTTGGTAGGGTGTTACCTGTTCCATGATGTCTTGGTAGGGTGTTTCCTGTTCCATGATGTCTTGGTAGGGTGTTTCCTGTTCCATGATGTCTTGGTAGGGTGTTTCCTGTTCCATGATGTCTTGGTAGGGTGTTTCCTGTTCCATGATGTCTTGGTAGGGTGTTTCCTGTTCCATGATGTCTTGGTAGGGTGTTTCCTGTTCCATGATGTCTTGGTAGGGTGTTTCCTGTTCCATGATGTCTTGGTAGGGTGTTTCCTGTTCCATGATGTCTTGGTAGGGTGTTTCCTGTTCCATGGTGTCTTGGTAGGGTGTTACCTGTTTCATGATGTGATATAGTACCATGGATTGATTCCCTACACAAAACCATTCCTTTTTAGCTCACCTGGCCTGAAGGTGATGATATTTGGCCAGAAGCAAACTGGGATAAAGGGCTACCAAGTTTGTTCAAATAAATGACCTTCACCTATTTTCAAGGTCACAGGGGTTAAATATGTTAAAAACTTTAAACAACTTTTTCTGAATACCTAAGAGGCCTAGGATAATGATATCTGGCCAGTAACATGCTAGGATGAAGGGCTACCAAGTTTGTTCAAATGAATGACCTTTACTTATATTCAAGGTCAAAGGGGTCAAATATGTTAAAAACCTTTTAAACAACTTCTTCTCAATAACCGATAGTCCTAGGATGATGCTATATGGTCAGTAGCATGCTGTGATGAAGGGCTACCAAGTTTGTTCAATTGAATGACCTTTACTTATATTCAAGATCACAGGGGTCAAATATGTTAAAAACCTTTTAAACAACTTCTTCTCAATAACCAATAGTCCTAGGATGATGCTATATGGCCAATAGCATGCTGTGATGAAGGGCTACCAGGTTTGTTTAAATGAATGACCTTGACTTATATTCAAGGTCACAGGGGTTAAATATAATTTAAACCTTTAAACAACTTCTGAATAACCAAGAGGCCTAGGATAATGATATTTGGCCAGTAGCATGCTGGGATGAAGAGCTTCCAAGTTTGTTCAATTGAATGACCTTGATTTATATTCAAGGTCACGGGGGTTAAATATGTTAAAACCCTTTAAACAACTTCTTGTGAATAACTAAGAGGCCTAGGGTAAAGATATTTTGCCAGTAGCATGCTGTGATGAAGGGCTATCAAGTTTGTTCAAATGAATGACCTTGACTTATATTCAAGTTTGTTCAATGAATGACCTTTACATATATTCAAAGTCACAGGGAGCAAATGTGTTTAAAATCTTTAAACGACTTCTTCTCAATTAGCCAAAGGCCAAGGGTGATGATATTTGGTCATTAACAGGCTGGGATGAAGGGCTACCAATTTTGTCAAAATGAATGACCTTCGCCCATATTCAAGGTCACAGGGGTCAATATATATTTAAATCTTTAAATGACTTGTTCTGTATATTCAAAAGGTCTAGGGTAATGATATTTTGCCAAAAGCATGCTGGGTTGGAAGACTTTAAACTCTGTTCAACCTAATATTATAATGTCCTTGTTCGACATTCAAGGTCACAGGTGTCGTATGTTTAAATCTTTTGATAGGTTCTTATGAATCAAACACTGATATTTTGCCTGTAGCTGTATTTTAGTCCACTTTTAAGATTACAAGTGTGAGATTAATACCAGGTGAGCAATTCAGGCCCATTGGGCCTCTTGTTTATCTTTACCATCTATTACCAGCACTTCTAAACGACATTTTCTATACAAAGAAATATGAAATGGAATGCTATCTTTACTGGATTGTTTACATTAGAAACTTCAATTTTGATTTATGTTATATCTTGAAATGTAATACCCTGTTTAAATTTCATTAAGATATGTAGACCATTATAAATTACATACTTAAGTGAGAGTTGGTTTTGCTTCCGATCACAATGTGGTGCAATCTATAGGTTAGAATTCCCCACAAGCTTGTGTGTTTAGTGGTCTATAAAGTTCTCTCTGACACAACACATAATACTAAACCTGAGCTGTGTTTGGCTTTGGTTGATCCAACCTCCCAACCTACCGGCCTAGAGACGAAGATATTTCTTTGCCAGCATTGAGACAAAAAGCTTATCAGATACAGAAAAATGAGCTTTAGGTTGCATTATCTATCCAAATGATTTCCAAAATAACATCTTTCAGCACTGTCGTTAATTCCAACATATTAAACTACCGCATACCTCACTTAAAACGAATATGTTAGTGCTGTAATCTGGCGTGGTGATTGATCAAGTTGACGTTCATGCTTTTTTAAGACCACCATGTATGTAATGCCAAGATAAAGCAATGACCTTGACCTTGCACGAGGATGTAGACTGTGTTACAGAGAAGCTGTTTCTCTCACACCTCACCTGTAATGTTATGTTCTCACGATAGGTGTTGTTAAAGCAAATGCGATCTAAGAGTTTCGTTTTGTAGTACATATGAAATTGAAAGTCATTGTTTTTACACATTAAACTTATCAACAATTAAGTCAGTATCACTGCCTGTAACCTGTATCATATGTTACCATATGTTATATTCACTAAGGTATATGTGACCTGGACATGCTGTGTGTCTTACAATACCCGTGACCTTGAGGTGTGTGACCTACACTATATGTGACCTTCAATACCTTTGACTTTGTTATAGGTGACCTACAATATATGTGACATTCCATGCATGTGACCTTGCTAGTGTGACCTATGATATCTGTGAACTTCAAACCTGTGACATTGTCATGTGTGACCTCAGTTTGCAGTGTGTTCTACAATACCTACATTTTGTATGACCATGTTGTATTTGACATATGATAAAACTCATAAGTTATGGCTGTATAGTTGGACAACATCATAGGTGGTGGCTGTATAGTTGGACAACAGTATAAGTGGTGGCTGTATAGTTGGACAACAGTGTAAGTGGTGGCTGTATAGTTGGACAACATCATAGGTGGTGGCTGTATAGTTGGACAACAGTATAAGTGGTGGCTGTATAGTTGGACAATATTATAGGTGGTGGCTGTATAGTTGGACAACAGTATAAGTGGTGGCTGTATAGTTGGACAACAGTATTAGTAGTGACTGTATTGTTGGACAACATCATAAGTGGTGGCTGTATAGTTGGACAACAGTGTAAGTGGTGGCTGTATAGTTGGACAACATCATAGGTGGTGGCTGTATAGTTGGACAACAGTATAAGCGGTGGCTGTATAGTTGGACAACAGTGTAAGTGGTGGCTGTATAGTTGAACAACATCATAGGTGGTGGCTGTATAGTTGGACAACAGTATTAGTAGTGACTGTATTGTTGGACAACATCATAAGTGGTGGCTGTATAGTTGGACAACAGTATTAGTAGTGACTGTATTGTTGGGCAACATCATAAGTGGTGGCTGTATAGTTGGACAACAGTATTAGTGGTGGCTGTATAGTTGGACAACAGTATAAGTGGTGGCTGTATAGTTTGACAACAGTATAAGTAGTGACTGTATTGTTGGGCAACATCATAAGTGGTGGCTGTATAGTTGGACAACAGTATTAGTAGTGGCTGTATAGTTTGACAACAGTATAAGTGGTGGCTGTTTTGTGGGACAACAGTATTAGTAGTGGCTGTATAGTTGGACAACAGTATAAGTGGTGGCTGTATAGTTTGACAACAGTATAAGTAGTGACTGTATTGTTGGGCAACATCATAAGTGGTGGCTGTATAGTTGGACAACAGTATTAGTAGTGACTGTATAGTTTGACAACAGTATAAGTGGTGGCTGTATAGTGGGACAACAGTATTAGTAGTGGCTGTATAGTTGGACAACAGTATTAGTAGTGACTGTATAGTTTGACAACAGTATAAGTGGTGGATGTATAGTGGGACAACAGTATTAGTAGTGGCTGTATAGTTGGACAACAGTTTTAGTAGTGGCTGTATAGTTGGACAACAGTATTAGTGGTGGCTGTTTAGTTGGACAACAGTATTAGTAGTGGCTGTATAGTTGGACAACAGTAGTAGTGGTGGCTGTATAGTTGGACAACAGTATAAGTGGTGGCTGTATAGTGGGACAACAGTATTAGTAGTGGCTGTATAGTTGGACAACAGTAGTAGTGGTGGCTGTATAGTTGGACAACAGTATTAGTGGTGGCTGTTTAGTTGGACAACAGTATTAGTAGTGGCTGTATAGTTGGACAACAGTATTTGTGGTGACTGTATAGTTGGACAACAGTATTAGTGATGGCTGTATTGTTGGACAACAGCTTTAGTAGTGGCTGTATAGTTGGACAACAGTTTTAGTAGTGGCTGTATAGTTGGACAACAGTATTAGTAGTGACTGTATAGTTTGACAACAGTATAAGTGGTGGATGTATAGTGGGACAACAGTATTAGTAGTGGCTGTATAGTTGGACAACAGTATTAGTCGTGGCTGTATAGTTGGACAACAGTATTAGTAGTGGCTGTATAGTTGGACAACAGTATTAGTTGTGGCTGTATAGTTGGACAACAGTATTAGTAGTGGCTGTATAGTTGAACAACAGTATTAGTGGTGGCTGTATAGTTGGACAACGGTATTAGTGGTGGCTGTATAGTTGGACAACAGTATTAGCAGTGGCTGTATAGTTGGACAACAGTATTTGTGGTGACTGTATAGTTGGACAACAGTATTAGTAGTGGCTATATAGTTGGACAGCAGTATTAGTGGTGGCTGTATAGTTGGACAACGGTATTAGTGGTGGCTGTATAGTTGGACAACAGTATAAGTGGTGGCTGTATAGTTGGACAACAGTATTAGTGGTGGCTGTATTGTTGGACAACAGCTTTAGTAGTGGCTGTATAGTTGGACAACAGTATTTGTGGTGACTGTATAGTTGGACAACAGTATTAGTAGTGGCTGTATAGTTGGACAACAGTTTTAGTGGTGACTGTATAGTTGGACAACAGTATTAGTAGTGGCTGTATAGTTGAACAACAGTATTAGTGGTGGCTGTATAGTTGGACAACGGTATTAGTGGTGGCTGTATAGTTGGACAACAGTATAAGTGGTGGCTGTATAGTTGGACAACAGTATAAGTGGTGGCTGTATAGTTGGACAACAGTATTAGTGGTGACTGTATAGTTGGACAACAGTATTAGTAGTGGCTATATAGTTGGACAACAGTATTAGTGGTGGCTGTATAGTTGGACAACGGTATTAGTGGTGGCTGTATAGTTGGACAACAGTATTAGTAGTGACTGTATAGTTGGACAACAGTATTAGTGGTGGCTGTATTGTTGGACAACAGCTTTAGTAGTGGCTGTATAGTTGGACAACAGTTTTAGTAGTGGCTGTATAGTTGGACAACAGTATTAGTTGTGGCTGTATAGTTGGACAACAGTATTAGTAGTGGCTGTATAGTTAGACAACAGTATTAGAAGTGGCTGTATAGTTGGACAACAGTATTAGTCGTGGCTGTATAGTTGGACAACAGTATTAGTAGTGGCTGTATAGTTAGACAACAGTATTAGTGGTGGCTGTATAGTTGGACAACGGTATTAGTGGTGGCTGTATAGTTGGACAACAGTTTTAGTGGTGACTGTATAGTTGGACAACAGTATTAGTGGTGGCTGTATTGTTGGACAACAGCTTTAGTAGTGGCTGTATAGTTGGACAACAGTATTAGTAGTGGCTATATAGTTGGACAGCAGTATTAGTGGTGGCTGTATAGTTGGACAACGGTTTTAGTGGTGGCTGTATAGTTGGACAACAGTATTAGCAGTGGCTGTATAGTTGGACAACAGTATTTGTGGTGACTGTATAGTTGGACAACAGTATTAGTAGTGGCTGTATATTTGGACAACAGTATAAGTGGTGACTGTATAGTTGGACAACAGTATTAGAAGTGACTTGGTAGTGAGATAACATAAGCCTAATCAACAAGTCATGACTCAATATGGTTTCTGGCTGTTTTTATTTATTTTTATACCAAATTCATTGTACATGATTATACAAATTCGTCCAAAAAATATTTAGAAAATACCCATTTGATCTTTTCTGCCATAAAAGTGAAACTTTTGGTCAAGAGATGAAGTGCAAAAGCATGTTTAAATCAGTGTGGCAATTTGGCTGCCACTGCGACTGACATCCTTAAGTATTTCAGCGTCTATTCTACAACATGACTACAATGTTTAAATTGAACACTCATGAGGTGGAAAGATTTTGACAACACAAGCTATTAGCTGTAATCATTTAAACATTTTCTTCGATAGATCAGCATTGTATTATGCCAAATTAAATTATCCTGTTTTTGTTTGGCACTAAATTGAATGATATATGTAGTAATATACAGATACATATTTATTTTAAAGTTTTTGCCATTTTTTTTATTATTTATATCTTCTACTGTCTGGACAAGTAAATGTGTAGATGCATTGTTCATCAATATCAACAGTCTGTTTTGAATTATCTTGATTTGAGAGGCAGATCAGTAACTAAAACAGATGTCGGGAGGGAAATCATTAACATAAACGAAGGGAAGACTATATGCTACATGTATGCTAATGTGGGAAGGGGAATGGTGAACATTGGTGCAGATCTAAAGGCCTAAGGGGAGGGTTTTTTGTCAGTTAAAGGAGGATAGTGGTCAATGTCATTGTAGGGATATTGTAAGTGTCGAAGAAGCATTGACAAAGAGATATTGAATGTTAGTTAAGGAAGGGAGGTGTTAATGTCGGGGTAGGTTTGAGAACAGTAATTAACGTTTTTAAAAGGAGGGGGTCAGTGTAGGGAGGGTAAGATCTGTTGTCAATAAAAGGATTATGTCAATGTAGGGAGGGGAGGATTTATTGTAAATGAAGGGAGGGGAGGTTTATTGTCAATGTAGGGAAGAGAAGGTTTATTGTTAATGAAAGGAGGGGAGGTTTATTGTCAATGCAGGGAAGAGAGGGTTTATTGTTAATGATAGGAGGGGAGGTTTATTGTCAATGTAGGGAAGAGAGGGTTTATTGTCAATGTAGAGAGGAGAGGGGTTATTGTAAATGAAGGGAGGGGAGGTTTATTGTCAATGTAGGGAAGAGAGGGTTTATTGTTAATGAAAGGAGGGGAGGTTTATTATTAATGTAGAGAGGAGAGGGTTTATTGTCAATGTAGGGAAGAGAGGGTTTATTGTTAATGTAGGGAAGAGAGGGTTTATTGTTAATGTAGGGAGGAGAGGGTTTATTGTTAATGTAGGGAAGAGAGGGTTTATTGTTAATGTAGGGAAGAGAGGGTTTATTGTTAATGAAAGAAGGGGAGGTTTATTGTCAATGTAGAGAGGAGAGGGGTTATTGTTAATGAAGGTAGGAGAGGGTTTATTGTTAATGTAGGGAAGAGAGGGTTTATTGTCAATGTAGGGATGAGAGGGTTTATTGTCAATGTAGGGATGAGAGGGTTTATTGTTAATGTAGAGAGGAGAGGGTTTATTGTCAATGTAGGGAGGAGAGGGTTTATTGTTAATGTAGGGAAGAGAGGGTTTATTGTCAATGTAGGGATGAGAGGGTTTATTGTCAATGTAGGGATGAGAGGGTTTATTGTCAATGTAGGGATGAGAGGGTTTATTGTCAATGTAGGGATGAGAGGGTTTATTGTTAATGTAGAGAGGAGAGGGTTTATTGTCAATGTAGGGAGGAGAGGGTTTATTGTTAATGTAGGGAAGAGAGGGTTTATTGTTAATGAAAGGAGGGGAGGTTTATTGTCAATGTAGAGAGGAGATGGGTTATTATTAATGTAGAAAGGGGAGGTTTATTGTCACAATGTAGGGAAGAGAGGGTTTATTGTCAATGTAGGGATGAGAAGGTTTATTGTTAATGAAAGGAGGGGAGGTTTATTGTCAATGTAGAGAGGAGAGGGGTTATTGTTAATGAAGGGAGGGGAGGTTTATTGTCAATGTAGAGAGGAGATGGGTTATTATTAATGTAGAAAGGTGAGGTTTATTGTCAATGTAGGGATGAGAGGGTTTATTGTTAATGAAAGGAGTGGAGGTTTATTGTCAATGTAGAGAGGAGAGGGGTTATTGTTAATGAAGGGAGGGGAGGTTTATTGTCAATGTAGAGAGGAGATGGGTTATTATTAATGTAGAAAGGGGAGGTTTATTGTCACAATGTAGGGAAGAGAGGGTTTATTGTCAATGTAGAGAGGAGAGGGGTTATTGTTAATGAAGGGAGGGGAGGTTTATTGTCGATGTAGAGAGGAGAGGGGTTATTGTTAATGAATGGAGGGGAGGTTTATTGTCAATGAAGGAAGAGTTAATTGTAAATCTGGTGAGGAGAGTAATATTGGCAGTGTAGGGTGGAGAGTATTATTATCTTTTTAGGGAAGGGAAGGTTTTATTCTCATTGTAAGTAAGAATGGGGTTTATTGTCATTGTAAGGAAATATGGGTTTATTGTCAATGTAGGATAAGTGTTTCTGTTGAGGTAGAGAGATGGGGGTTTAGTGAAGATGTAAGGAGAACTCTTTAGTGGGAGGAGGGTGTGTGTGGGGGGGGGGGGGGGGGGGTAATGCTCTGATATGACTCAGGACTTATACATTTTTTGGTCAAAAATCATTTTAAAATTAAAATGTTTAATTTGAGATGACAAAGGTTAATTATCCTTATGTCAAGAAAAGTCTGTTTGAGGATAGCCAGGCCTTTGTTACACTTCAGGACGTGCAGGATGATTATTTAAGTCCTCATATCATAAAAGATTGTGTGCTGTTGCATTTAGGTTAAAAGGTCAAAGGTCAGTGTTGTTGGTGAAAATTGACTGATCTTAAACAGTTCAAAGTCTGGTTTGTGTAAGAGTATGTTAGGGCTGACTGTGGATTATGCTATATCAAAGTGGTCATAATCAGTGATAATTTACTCACCTTTCATGCCAAAACCTAATCAAGTTGAGTCACACCAGTGCTTGTAGGGGAGCAACACATCAAATAGAAAATTTACCAAAATTGAATTTTGATTGAAAACTAACAATGCTTTGATCACTGGATGTTTGCTGTTGTATATAATTACTGGTAGCTTTGAAGTTGTCCAGTTTAACTGAACTAGTCAGTTTACACTTCACAGAGGACATCTGTTAAGGTCCAGTTATGTTGCTGTTGACTATTAATCTTGCAGATATTTCTGTTCAAGTTAGCAATTTTCAGAATTTTTTATGCATTGTTCATATTGATGATTTCTTGCTACATTGCCCTATATTATGAACGTATTTGTTTTAATTCTAGAAATCATGATGAAGGCCTTAACTATGATAAATAGAGATAAACTTCTGTGCCAAGGTCTATCCCATTTTGTCCTCTTGTTCGTCCATTGCTGTCTCTGTTGGTCATTTTTCATGTAGTTTTCATGTAGTGTTGACGTCGATGTAAGCTTCTTGGGGGTTCTCTACTGTCCCTCTGGTATTGTCTTACAAATGACATCTCATAGTAATGTGTGCAACAGAAAAGGGTTCAAACAGGTTTATTGCAGAACCATAAACAAAAATGGCAATGCTTCAAGGTCGAACATTGACATAGGTAATACTGGATATTTAAGCTTTAAAATCTTCTTCTAAATTATAATTGCTGTAGTTTTGATATATCAATATTAGCACGATTTGTAGATGGATGTGAAAATTAGTTAAAACTGGAAGCTTAGGTGCTATAAAAAGGGATAAAATACAACCTTTACCCTAACCAGAAGGTCAGTGTTCAACAAGGTCGTATTGTCCTTACCCTATGTACAGCAAAGTTTATACAATTACTGATCTGTTTTTGTAGGAATTCCTTGCCCAGAAAGGCTTCGTCCACCGAGACTTGGCAGCTAGAAATATTCTAGTCGGTAGGGACAAGACGGTGAAGGTTGGTGACTTCGGTCTCACCCGCTTTGTCTATAACGATGCAGTATACGTCAACAGAAAGGGGGGACGACTCCCACTCAAGTGGATGTCCATTGAGGCTATCTGTGAGCTGACCTTTTCCTCGGCTAGTGATGTGTAAGTAGAACTATGTTGTCAGACTTTCCCTGTTTATCAGATTTTATCAGTGTTAGCCTTTCTTATACTTTTATATTTTATTTATTTGTCCTGTTGTGTAAATTTCATGTATGTTCTTTAATCACTTTGCCTGTTGGAGTTTTGTTCCATAGTCTTTATCAAATTATTCAATCCTTCAACTTTTGGTATTTTTTTTCTTTGAATTAATTGTACATTCTGTTGAAGCTATTTCTTTCCAACTGTCAAGTTTGTTTTCTAGTTGAGTGTTTATTTTAAGTTACGCAACATTTCTGTCTATTTATCTTGTTTATTTGGAGTAATGGGATGTACCTGTGCATGTATTTTAAGTTCTTGTCATTTAGATGCACTATTCGTGTGGTTTTAAACCTGGACTAAGACTGTGCTATTATCTTGCTGAAAATGTTTGTAAATCATTATTTAATTACTGGGTCTGTGTAACTCTCTCTCTATAATTAATTTTGTGTGTTAGATTGTTTCTGTTCCCATGTGAACGATGCTGTATTAACGTCTGTAAGAATACCTAATCTCTAACTTGGCAAGCTTATGAATGCATGCCAAAGTTTGGATTAAAGTAATCTGGATGTGTCTACATCCTCAGCAGTGAGTGGTAATTGGCAGTTATCAGTGTATGAAGTGTTTCCATGCTAGGTCAGCCGGGGATCTCTAATTTGGAATCATGTCTTCAAGGGTCAGTGTATCGTTTACCTTTGAGTGGTACACTTATTTTTCATAACTTATTGTTGCTTTCACGGCAATCAAATCCATTTGCAAGGTTAACAGTGAGTAATATGAACTAGGTAAAGCCATAATTAGGGCAGCTGGACTGTGTGAACGAGGTCCTACTGGTCTAGTTACACCTGACTACTCCTCTTATAACAATTAGTAATCAATTAATAGATACTAGAACAGCTGGAGTGTGTGTACTAGGTCCTACTGGTCTAGCTACACCTGACTACACCTCTTATAACAATTTGTAATCAAATTGTAGATACAAGAACAGCTGGGGTGTGTGAACTTGGTTCTACTGGTCTAGTTACACCTGACTACATCTCTTATAACAATTAGTAATCAATTAATAGATACTAGACCAGCTAGAGTGTGTGAACTAGGTCCTACTGGTCTAGTTACACCTGACTCCTCCTCTTATAACAATTAGTAATCAATTAATAGATACTATAACAGCTGGAGTGTGTGTACTAGGTCCTACTGGTCTATTTACACCTGACTACACCTCTTATAACAAATAGTCATCAATTAATAGAAACTAGAACAGCTGGAGTGTGTGTACTAGGTCCTACTGGTCTAGCTACACCTGACTACACCTCTTATAACAATTAGGAATCAAATTGTAGATACTAGAACAGCTGGAGTGTGTGTACTAGGTCCTACTGGTCTAGTTACACCTGACTCCCCCTCTTATAACAATAAGTAATCAAATTGTAGATACTATAACAGCTGGAGTGTGTGTACTAGGTCCTACTGTTCTAGTTACACCTGACTACACCTCTTATAACAATTAGCAATCAAATTGTAGATACTAGAACAGCTGGGGTGTGTGTACTAGGTCCTACTGGTCTATTTACACCTGACTACACCTCTTATAACAAATAGTCATCAATTAATAGAAACTAGAACAGCTGGAGTGTGTGTACTAGGTCCTACTGGGCTAGTTACACCTGACTACACCTCTTATAACAAATAGTCATCACTTAATAGATACTAGAACAGCTGGAGTGTGTGTACTAGGTCCTACTGGTCTAGCTACACCTGACTACACCTCTTATAACAATTAGGAATCAAATTGTAGATACTAGAACAGCTGGAGTGTGTGTACTAGGGCCTACTGGTCTAGTTACACCTGACTACTCCTCTTATAACAATAGTAATCAATTAATAGATACTAGAACAGCTAGAGAGTGAGAACTAGGTCCTACTGGTCTAGTTACACCTGACTACTCCTCTTATAACAATTAGTAATCGATTAATAGATACTAGAACAGCTAGAGTGTGTGAACTAGGTCCTACTGGTCTAGTTACACCTGATTACAGCTCTTATAACAATTAGTAATCAATTAATAGATACTATAACAGCTGGAGTGTGTGTACTAGGTCCTACTGGGCTAGTTACACCTGACTACACCTCTTATAACAATTAGTAATCAAATTGTAGATACAAGAACAGCTGGGGTGTGTGAACTAGGTTCTACTGGTCTAGTTACACCTGACTACACCTCTTATAACAATTAGTAATCAATTAATAGATACTAGAACAGCTGGGGTGTGTGTACTAGGTTCTACTGGTTTATTTATACCTGACTACACATCTTATAACAATTAGTAATCAATAAAAGCAGCCACTCTATCTTTCCTCCACCACCAAAATCTGGCACGTCCTAATTAATAACCAAAGCTGTTAACAAAAAAATAAAACACTGACAAACCATACCAAACATGTTCTTGGAGATTTTTTTCATATTTTGGCAATATTTTAAGCGAAAAGTTGCATAATAATGTTTGGAATGGTGTAGACTTATATAACCCACTGCAACAAAGCTAGGAGAAATATACCTTCAGTCCATCTCATAGTCTGAGGATAAAAGGTTGTCCTGACAGCTCTTCCTAAACTAATAATCTGACTTCACCAAACCATTAAATGCTTTAAAGATTTAACATGTTCTGTAGTTGCACAACTAACATTTATATTTCAGTTTTGACTCCCCAGAGTTATTGCACTTTTTGTAATTTCCAAATCTATGTGACCAATTACAATGAAACAATCTGGAAGTGGTACATAGGGAATATACTTTATATTAAAAGGTCAAATTTAGAATTTTGGCAACAAAGATGGCCACTCTAACCTCTGATTGGCTGAAACATTAAACATTTCAATGGTCTAATTGGGGATGTATTTGTGACCAATGGCTAACAGTTCTGTTTTTTTTAAATCCTCTTGTTCCTTGTATCAGACTTTGCTCATTTTTCCAAATTTTGATAAAATGTATGTATTTGGACACAACACATAACTTTTTTTATATATGGTTATTGTAAGTTTCAAAAACCTTGGGTGGAGATAGAGGGTCCTATAAGTGCAGCCAGACATCCAAGCTTTTCTGGGTTTCTCCAGATACAAGAATTCAGATTGGTGCCCTATTTAATTCCTGTTTGTTGCCAAAAATATTGTTATTTTATCTTCAGACATGTAAAAGGTGAAAAAGGATCGAGCCTGATTTACATCTCGTTCTTCCCTGTCTCCTGTCTTATATACCACGGATCTGTGTAATCTTTTGAAACGAGGAAAGATTAAACATTGAGTTTAGGTAGCTTAAGTTAATATATCAAATACCATTCAAATTTAATAGATTTGTGTGATCAACGATAAAAACTGCATAATCTATGAAGTATGAATCTTAAGAAAAAAAATGTTTTATTCAAATTACTAATCTTGCATCAAATCAAATTGGATTAAGTCTAAATTTTCAACCAATTTATAAGATTTTGAAATGAATTCTTCATTAGGAATGTATGAGCCGTAACTCCGTTTTAACTGGTGAATCCACTTCTCCACTAGGGCTGCCTTGGTTGAGGTAACATCGCAAGCTTGTGTGTGTAATTTCTCTTTGATTTACGGTTTCCAAAATTAAACTATCTTCAGTGTAGACGCTGACGTCATAGGTAACAGGTGGTTAAATCAGGCTATTATCTTTTACGGTCATTTTGGAATGATGGGCTTTGATATGGGGCTCTTAAGCTTCTGTTTTATATCTACTTTTATCGCCGCTGTCTTTACTGCTTGACAAAGTATGTATGTTTAAAATCTTGTAACCTGATTTAATGTATTCTATAGAAAACCAGTGACGTGTAGAATCCTTATTGTCAATTAGGAAAATAGTCAGGTGTCATTTAGATTTCCTCAGGGACTTAAAATTGAAATAGTTGGGAAGTAATAATGAGAAATATTTAAGTATTTACTTTTTCTGTCTATGTTTTCTACCTTTGTGTGTGTCACCTAGCAATATGAGGATCTTATGAGACAATATTAGCTACTTTTGAAGCTTTTAAGAAGTTTTCTAGCATGTGTTGTGCCTATAAGCTATTCGTTAGTGTGATGGTTAGAATTCAACAGTTTTCAATATCACCTTGCCATGTTTTTATTCAATTTAGCCTTTTCGAATAAATTTGATCATAACCTACTTTGAAGGTCACAGAATGAGATAAATAAAGTCAGCTATACAAGCCCTTTGGGTCTTTTGTTAGCCTTTTCAAGTAAATTTGATCATAGTGTGTATTGAAGCGTCATTCATGCTATAAAAACATATTGAAATTTGCTGATTTCTTCAATGGAAAACACATTTAATAATCTTTCATAAGTTAATTCTGTCATATACATATTACCTTGATTAACAGTTACAAATTAATTGTAACAAAATGTCATTTACAGTGACAAAATCACAACATAACAGAATCAAAATCAAGGTGACAAAATTATTGACAAAAATTCCACTCAAATACCAAGCTTACAGAATATCAATAAAGGCAACAATTTGATTGTATTGTAAAAGGAAATGGGTTTAGAGAGTTTTATTGTAACATCACCATGTCCTATTGTAATCTACACCGTAAAAACAAACTTTATACGATCAACATCGCAACAAACATCCAGAACAACTGTTAAGTAGGATATTTATTTTTGAAATTTAGAAGTGTTTACAGCCTGTGTCTGTAGGGCCGAGGAAGTTTTTATCGCTGTTCATTGTCCGTGATAGAGAATCAGAAAAGCTGTAAGAATGTACGATAACTATAAAAGGAGAGGTCGTAAATCTGGCGGCCCTGACAGGGGATCAATGGCCGACTGCATCACAGTAGATACTGTTCGGTGTGTGGTAAGTCATCTAATATTTCATTATCATAAACGTATTTGTCATAACCAACAGGACATTCCTCATATCTCTACTATATATCCAGGCTTATATTGGCTAACA